TCCCCTTTGGAGAGAGGAAGAAACTCCAGGAAAACCGGGAATATTTCGCCGGAAGTTCCATGGTTTTTTTTTTTTTAGAGCAAAGCACCAAAAAATCCCGGAGTTCGTTGTGCCTGAGTAAAAGTTGTCCCGAGTTTTTGGGAAAAGAGGAATGAAGAACGACTTGGGTGGATGAGGGGAGCGACCTGTGCCAGTGGAATTCCTGGAATTCCTCCTGTCACCCCCAAGGATGTGATTCCCGATGTCCAGAGGGAATCCAAGTGAAACCGCTTTGGTCCTGGTGCTGGGCAGAGAAGCTCCCGAGGGTCCCTTCAGGGATTTATGGATATTGAGGAGATTCCCCTTCTCCAGGATGGACAATCCCAGCTCTTCCAGCCTCTCCTGCTCCAATCCCTTCATCCAATCCCTTCATCCCTTCACTGCTCTTCCTTGGATTCTCTTCCTCTCTCCCGGACTGCGGAGCTCAAACCGGGCCCAGAACTCCAGGTGGGACTTATCCAAGTGGAAGGATTCCATAGGGATGGAAAGCCAGGAAGATCCTCAACCGCGTGGCCCGAGCCACCGGGGTGGATCCGAAGCCGGGTGGAAAAATTCCTGCACTAAACAGGGAAAAGAAAAAAAAGAGCAGGGAGAGAGGGGTTAAAGCTGCAAATCCGGGATTCCTGGAAGTGTCCCACGAGGTTTTGGGTGTCCCGCTGCTGGAATTCCATGTCCATGAATCCCCCAGTTCATGAGTTTATTAAACTTCATGGAATATCAATTCCCACCGAATCCCGAAACCTTCCTGGACTCAGGGCAGGAAATCTGAAAGTGCTTTTTTTTTGTTGTTTTTTTTTTCCCATTTCTGCCCTTGGAATTCTATTGTTTGGCACCGAACTTGGAAGTGGACGTGGAAAAAAAACGGGATGGGAAGTGCTTAAGAGTCAAGTGGAAACCCCGAATCCCGCGCGGAGTTTGCTGAAGGGAGGGAGCGGCAGTTGCTCCATCCTTCTCCCAGTTTTCTTCTTCCAGGAATATCTGGTTTTAAGGGATATTTTCAACTCGAGACGCCCGAGGGATGGCAGGAAAAAAGTGCTGGATTAGGGAAGTGCAGATAATTGAGGGATTTAGAGGGAAAACTCCTCCTCCTGATCCATCTCAACTGGCTCCCACCCGGTTTTCCCACTCCCCCAAATCCAGGCGAGGATGTTTTCAGGGAAGGGAAGGCTGCGGATTCCTTGTGCTCCCTGAAAACCTGAGGATGAATCCCGGTGCTTTGGTTGCTGCTGGTCCTCGGCTTCGGAGGGACGGGAGAAAAGGAGGGTGGGAAGGGAAAAGAGCGGGATGGGAACGTGCGGAACGAGACGGGATCCGGGCGTCAATAATTCCAAAGTCCAGCTGTGCCCACGGGATAAAGCCGGGATTTCCCAACCCCACGGATAGCGGGATACCAGGAGAGGTAAGAAGAGGCTCCGAAGTGCAGCTTGTTGCGTCCAGACTCGGCTGTTCCCGAGGGGCCGGGAAGCGATCCCAGATTCCCGAGGCCGCTCCAGGTCACTTGTACAGGGCCATTTTCCGGCTCTGGAACAGGTACATGTAGGCGTCACAGAAGAGCCTTTTGGCCACTCCATCCATATCCCGGGGCTGCTCCAGGGCCAGCCCGGCCAAGGGCAATTCCAGGTATTTGGCGACCTCCGGGCACAGCGTCACCGCAGGAATGTTGAAGCCGCTTTCGCCACCTACGGCAGGGAAAAGGAGGAAAAGCCCGGCTCAGATCCCGAGGGATGAGCTCCTGCAGCTCCAGGAGATCCCGTCACGCTCGACAGCGGAGACACCTGGAGGCCAAAAGCGCTGGGAGAGGTTGGATGAGGGGAGAACATCCACATTCCGGAGCCTAAAGGGGCTCCAGGAGAGCTGGAGAGGGAATTGGGATGAGGGATGGGGGGACAGGACACAGGGAATGGTTTCCCACTGCCAGAGGGTTAGATGGGATACTGGGAAGGAATTCTTTCCTGGGAGGGTGGGAAGGGGCTGGAATGGAATTCCCAGAGAAGTTGTGGCTGTTCCATCCCTGGAAGTGTCCAAGGCCGGGTTGGAGCAACCTGGGATAGTGGGAGGAGTCCCTGCCCATGGAAATGGGGGTTGGAATTCCTTGACCTTCAAAATTCCCTTCCAACCCAAACCGTTCCATGATTCCAAGATAAGGAGAGGAGAATAATCCACGCTCAGGTGGGACTGGGTTTAAATCCCTGCGTTTGAATGTATCCAGAGGATGGAAGCTCCTGGAAGAACTCCCACCTTGGTCTGGCCACGGATGGAATCTCCTGGGAGAACTCCTTGGCTTGGCCACACTTTTCTCGGGAGTCTAATTCAATGGGAGCAAGATCCAGAGAGAGACTAAACTGGACAGGGAATTTCAGAGGGAAAAGGTGGACTTGTCTGAACGTATCCAGAGGATGGAAGCTCCTGGAAGAAATCCCACCATGGCTTGGCCATGGATGGAAGCACCTGGAAGAACTCCCACCATGGCCTGGCCATGGATGGAAGAACCTGGAAGAACTCCCACCACGGCTTGGCCCTGTTTTTTTCTGGAGTCTAATTCAATGGAATCAAGATCCAGAGAGACTAAACAGAACATGGAATTTCAGAGGGAAAAGATGGACTTGTTTGAATGTATCCAGAGATGGAAGCACCTGGAAGAACTCCCACCTTGGCCTGGCCAGGGATGGAAGCACCTGGAAGAACTCCTGGGCTTGGCCTGGTCATGGAT